GAATCATTAAACATCCCAGGTGCTGAAACATAATGAGAAGGATCTAAGCCGTCGTCTTCCAAGCACATGATAGTGTAGTTCATGAAATCATCTGTAAGTAAAAATACATCAGTCTCAAGATAAAGATCATAATATTCTCCAAAGTTCTTCATCTCGAATACTTGCCATACCTTTTGAGCATGTTCATAATCCTTTTTACTAATATTTTGCTAACTAAGAAGTGAATAGAAGTCCTTTCTAGAAGGAAGGCTTGTTCTGTCGAATTTTTCCTATGCATTTGTCCAGTCATTTGAAAAGACTCCTTTTCAGAATATAAGCTTGATCTTATCTATCGAATAGCCTTTTTCGGTAAAGTGCTTGATAGTTATGGGAATTTTTCAAGCTTTTCTCCTAAGCACTCAACTAATTTATCTAGCCCCATTCCCATATGCTGAAAGCTATCTAAGAACTGAAGCTGTTTAATATCCATTGCTTTATACTTTCCTATATTTTTTGGGATGCATTTTAGCTTATCAGCCGTAAACTTGCTCATAACTTTCATGAGCGGATGAGAGTTATATTCCCAAAAATTATGGCAGATCAAAGGTACTTTTGTCTCAAATATCCTGTTCATAATTTTTTGTTACAAGCATCATGAGCTAAACCTCAGTACTTCCCACTTATATAATCATGTCTTTTACCTTACAATTAAGTCCACTTAAAGCTTATCGGTATTCTTTTTGTATCTTTTTCTTTTCTGAATGTCTTCTCCCATGCTTGCTTCCCATTTGATAACTTCTAATAATCTGTGCTTAACTTCTTCGAATTTTTGCAATGCTTTTGAAGATAGCTTAAGAAAAGCTTTGCAAATCTAACATTTAGTTGCTTCATTATATGCTTTAAGATTTCCAGGTGCCATAATAATTTCAGCTGGCGCAGATAATTCTTCTTGTATAATTAGAAGCTCCTCCTCAATTTTTGTAACAAATCTTTCTAACGCATCTGCTCCTCTATATAAATCATGACTCACAATCTCATAGTTAAGTGAACTATTCATGTGAATAACCACGTAGCTATAATCACATGGCTTATACATCTGTAACCTTTCTGTATTAGTTAATTTCATTTTTCTTCTGGAGTTATCTTTTCAGTTAACATTTTCAGATCCCAGAAAATGCGATATGGATTTGGTTATATGCATTTATGATTATAGAAAGCTTTAACACTCCTATTCTTTACCGGCATTTGTGGTCACTGAGAAGCATTATTTAGACCCTTGCATTTTAGCAAATGTTCATTATATCTTATCTCTGAAGAATATACATAAAGACAATAATGACAAATGTATTTTCTCCCTTTATGTTTACTAAAATTGTATACTAACTTATGTAAATCTTTAATGATGCAGTAATGACTTCTATCTTCTTCTGTAATTACTAAAAGATTTACTTGCTTGTATTTATTCTTTCTTCTTTCTGAAATATAGCAAAATTCAAGACATTCATTCTGATTGTGCCACTCATAGACACATAAGCTAATTATTAGATTATTTTATCGAACTTTTTATAAACTGGTGTTGAGACTGGTATAGGAACTGAAATGTCATCCATATTAAGTTTCTCTATGAATCCTCCATATAGCTAATGCAGATTTCTTTTAGGATAAATCTTAACTGGATGCAAAGCTTCTAGAACACACCATCCAAAACACCAGTTATCATTATTTTGAATATTAATAATTCCATTATTACGTTTCGGTAAAGTTTTTGGTAAAGCTATATAAGCTATAGGACCAATTGGATTGAAATCAGCTATCTCTATACTAAATTCTTCTATATATTCTGGATAAGCATCAGACATTTGGTATATCGTTAGTTCTTACTGTCGCATTATTAATTGCTTATAAAATTTTTTCTTTAATTAATTAATTCTTATACTTATCAAAATAATTGGTGAATATTCGTACCCTTATCTCTGCAACTCTGAAATGACTTGTAGAAGAGCTTGTATTAAGCCTGAAGGATGTCGATTTCATTGGAAAGCTAAAAAATGAGTACTTTACTCCGATTGTGGTAAGCTAACTGCTTCTGCTTGTGGATGATGTCTATTACATATCAAGGGATATTATGTGATCCAATATTATAATAGATTGCGAGATAAAGCTTCCCTTCGATTATAGATTATTGAGAGGAATTAGAACAAAATTTTATATAATATATTTTTTATTATATTTCTCAACCTCTGAAAGTATCTAAACATAATTCCTGATATATATTTTTTGTATGACTTATGAGAGAGAAATTAGGACAAAATTTTTTTTATATGATTTATTATAAGAAGAATTAGGACAAAAAATCTTTATTATATTTTCTGACTTCTGAGAGTCATTAAGCATAATTCCTGATATATATTTTTATGTATGACTTATTTTTTTCGTATGACTTATTATTGAGAAAATTGTAACAAAAATGATTCATATGTCTTATTATTGGGGAAATTGGGACAAAAATTTTTCGTATGACTTATTTTATATGATTTAAAATGAAATTATTTATTTAATAAGCTAGCCAGTACAGAAACAATTCTTGATATATTATTTTGTAAGAATTATTTTTTATTTATATAGAATTTAGCCAGCTGAAAGACGTAGAAGTTATTTTAGTATAGTAGAAATCAATATAGATTTTACGAGTGAACAGAGCACACAATATCAGTGAAGGTAAAGGGACTTCATTCCAAAACCCCCACAATGATATTGTGTGATAGTACTTTAAGACCAGTTGTAAATAAGTCGAATAAAACCCATTTTGCTTTCAAATCTTCCACTAGATAAATATTTTTATTTATACTTCGATTTTCAATATTAATTTCATCCTCATATAATTCATCATTAACCATTTCAATCCAACAATTAATACATGCACTCCAACTTAATGTTATCATTTCCTTATCATTTTCTTCCTCCTCATTATTGCTACTATTTCCTTCATCTGAATAATCTGATACCCAAAATTCTTCAAATTCATTCGTATCTGCTTCAATTTCATCATTTAATATTGATATTTTATTAGTAGAATCAAATTGTGATGTTTTTTTTTGGTTTTTGTATATTTCAAAGAACTTTTTGCTTTTGAAGTTCAGCTTGTAATTGACTCATAACCAATACTTTGTTATACTTTCTCAATAAAATATTATTAGTAAATTATATTTATTAAATTAAAATTAAAAATAAAAAAATAATTACTGATAAATGATTATGACTTTTTGAATGTAAATGTTTTATATTAGAAAATAGGCGTTCAACTGAAGCTGAATTTACACAAATTCTATAAATTCTACAAGCAATTTTTGCAAGTTCACTTTTATCTTTTCTTGAACAAAATCGCCAATATTTTAATATATCACCATTAAATTATTGATAAGTTATATCATCAAAAGGCCTTTATTTTGATTCATAATCTTTTATCTCATTTAATAAATATTGTGCAGGTTGAGAAAATCATGATTCAAAATAATATTGTAACTATTCTGATAAATCAAATATAAGATTGTCATATTTTTTACTAAACTTATTAAGACAATATTCCGGATGTAGCTAAAATGATATTAAAAGTAAAGGTTGTTCCCATGATTTCCATTTTTGTTCTAACTGTATACGCATTTTTTGACCAAATGTTTCATTATGATAATATTTAAAAAAGTTTGACTAAATAGCCAAAACAATGTAATACATCATGCAGCTAGGCACTATCTCTTTGTAATTTATTAAGAGTACCACAAAATGGAATAAGAAGATTATGAAGTTTTTTGAGATCAAACCAGAAATTTTAATCATTTACAATATTTATTATTTTAGAAAAAATAAGTAAATCACCACGTTCTTTATAATCTGGTCTTTGATTTTTTGTTATTAGTAACTAAAAAAATAAAAATAAAATTATAAATAAAAAATTTTAAATTATTAATTAATTTTTATTTAACCTTTAATGCAGTTTCTGTTTTTAAAATACTTGCTATACAAAAATAATGACTATTTCATCTAGTTTTACATGATCTTTGAAGTGTATATAAATGACCATTCAACTCAATTTGTTCTTGTTTTAATTTTTCCAAAAAGTATGTTAATGAGTTAAAAAAAAATACAATTGTAACAGCTTGAATTGAAACTATTTTGTATTTTTCAGATTCTTTAAATACATCGCTTGTACATAAATTTATTTGATGAGCAAAACATGGTAAAAAAACTTTATCAAGATTTTCATTTCTCATTTTTGCCTTATCCCTTAAATGGTAATGATTTTTATTCAAATTTAGTCATGATTTTCAATCAATTATTATGCAAAATTCTATATAAAAAAACTTACAATTTTTTTAATTTTTAGTTAAAATATGTTATAAAATTTATTATAAATTTATTATTTTTAAATAAAATTTCATTTTTAATAATTAAAATATTAAATATATACAAA